GGTCTATAATTTTGGATCTGTGTCAAGTCTGTATCTTCTTTCAGTATTAAAGTAATATTTGCCTCTATCCAAGTATTCGGTACTTTAGCATCTAACAATACCACATTGCATATATCCTTAAAAGGCACAGACAGGATTCCTTCAAAAGCTTTATAAAACTCTGCTGGTAACCCATCCAGGCCCAAGGTTTTGTCATTCTTTTGTCTCTTAATTGCCTCAGTTACTTCTGTCATTGTTATTTCTTCATTTAATGTTTTTTGGTATTTCTCCAACAGCTTTGGTAAATTTCGGATATACTCATTAACTTTCTCAGTTGGAGTTTCTTTATTTTGGTACAGCTTTGCAAAGAAGTCTTCCACTATTTTCTTAATTAACATACTTTGTACCTGCAGTCATCCTTCTCCATCCTTCAATTTGTATATTAATCTCTCCTCTCTTTCCTTCTTTAGTTTATAAGCTAACCATCTCCCTGGTTTATTAGCATTTTCGAAATAGTTCTGTTTAGTCAGTTTTGTTTGGTAAGTTCATTTGTATCCAAGAGGTTCAGTTTGTGTTTTAGAATATTCATTTGTGTCTTAAGGTCTTTTTTAGATGGATCTTCCTGGAGCTCCTGTTCAAGCTTTATCAGTTCCTCTACTAATTTAGATAATTCCTGCTTTCTCATTTTGTTTATTTTTGCTGAGTATGTTATTATCAGGCCTCTGACATAGGCTTTAGCCGTATCCCAAACATTTTGCAAAGAGGTTTCTTCAGCTTTATTAACTTGGAAAAACAATTCCATTTCCTTGTTTATTTCTTTTTTGAACTTTTTGTCTTTTAATAGAGATTTATTGAATACCTATCTGGGTGTTTTTACGGTCCCTTTCAATGTCATGATTACAGGATTATGATCTGCCCAGACATTTGTATCTATTTCAGCTTCTAACATATCTGGAACTAGATCTGGTGTTATCCAAATCATATCAATTCTGAACCACAACCTATGTCTATTCGAGTAGAAAGTATACTTAGCAGAAGTTGAGTTTTTATGTCTCCAAGCATCTGTCAGTCTGAATTCTTCAAATATATTAAAGCAAGACTTTGGAAGTATCCTCCTGCCTTTTTTCTCCTTTGTCTCACTCTTATGGTCTATTTTTTATCCACAATTGCATTGAAGTCTCCCATTAAACACAAAGTTTGATAATCCACTTGCAAGAGTAAACTATGTAGTTTTTGGTAAAGCACTTCCTCATGATCATTTGGTGCATAGATCGCCACCAAAAACACCTTTTTGAGTTTCATTGTAACTTCAACCATCAGAATTCTACCATCTTCATCTGCTAAGATATATTTGGGGTCTATTTTTTCCTTAATGTATAATGCTAAACCTCTTTTGATGAGCAGATGATTTAAATAACTTTCCGAGTTTTGGACATTCCAGGAACTTACTATGTTGTTTCTTAATGTGTGTTTCTTGCAGACAAATTATATCTAACTTCCGTTTTTGAAGCTGAGTGATGGTCTTTCTCCTCTTAGAGAGTGCGTTTAATCCATTTACGTTCAAAGAAAATAGTTCAGTTCTTCCTTCCATTTTAAGAGCCATGTTTGTAAAATATATATTTATCTATTTATGCTTAGCCTTTACGCTTCTACCTTTTCTCTTATCTTTTGGTTCCGGTGCCTGTTCATCTTCTTGTTGATCTGTAATTGCTATTTCTCCTTCTTCAGGGTGGTAAGTTGTTACATCCATTGCTTCAGCATCTTTCCCTCCTTTTTGTACAGCCTATTCTTCATCTTCAAATGAGATTCTAAATTTTTCATAGAACTCTTGCGCCTTGAAGATTGAATCCAACTTATATCTTGTGGAGTTCCAGGTAAAGAATATTCCTTCTAGCGTTAACCACCTGAACATAATTCCCTTCTTTGTCAGCTTCATAGTAAGAAATAGGTTTTTCTTTCATCCTTCTCTGATCCTTCATGGTATTTTTTTCAGAACAGTCACCTCATGTTGATCATCGACTCTTAGAGATTTTTCATGTACAACCTTCAGAACATTATCTCTTACAGATCTTTTTGCAAATTTAACATGAACTTCCCTGCGTAGTTTGTGTCTTCTAACATAGCTTGAATTAACTCTATAAACCAGGTCAATTTCTCTATCCATCTCTTCATTTTCCAAATCCAGAGCATCTGCCAGCATAGTGATTATTAATTCCCTTAGTTTTAATTTCTTCTCTCTGGTATGTTCTGAAAACTTAAATAATTAGATGCCTTCTCCATCTCTAGTATAGCATCCGAGTCCCATAGTGACTTATTTGTTTGTATTAATAGTTGTGTTTCTTTGTCTGTCGCTTTCATTTTTTTATGGACTTCTTGGATCTTTTGTGTATTTTGTTCAGTTTTGAGTCAAACATCTGTCAATTGATTGCATGCTTCCCTAACAGTGCTGTCCAATTTATCCAGTTTATCCATTCTTTCTCTTTGTTCCGCAGCCAAATTCTTTTATTCGAATGTCAATTTTAGTATAGAATTTTGCATAGCCTCTTGAGATGTTTGCACAGATGTTAGAGATGCTTGTATTGCCAAAAGTGTCATTTGTAAGTCTTTTTGGTATTTTTCCACATCTGCGGTTTTGAATTGGTGAGTTGGGCTCTGGGTAGCAGATGTAGGTGCCGAGGAGGAGGGGTGTTTTTTTCATAGTGATAAAACCTCCAGAAGGAGAAAGAAGGAAAAAAAAGCGGGGGGGGGGGGGGGGGCCGATAAGAAAAAGGTTGTTTGGTACACAGTAAATCTGTTAAAAGTAAAATGGCCACAGGGTGGCAGCAAAGAGTTGTTTGTTGATATGACGTCAAAAGGAAAAGGACGTCTCCGAAGAAAATGAAATGAAAATGAAACCAGAAAGAAAAAAGAAAAACTTTTCTATCAATTAATCTACAGTAAATTCTGATTTAATTCTTCACCCTGGGGGAGATTAAAGAGTCTTTTCTTTTCCAAGCCTCAAGTTTCCCCAGTCTCAGTTCATCTCCCCTAGATTAGTCGCTGCTTGAACTCCACGGGGGGTGTGGTGGAGATTCCTCCCTCCATCAGAAGGGCTTTTCTTTTTTCTTTTTTATTCAGATTGATACTTGCTTCACAAGTTCTTTCATAGGCAATATTTTAAAAAGCAGAAATGCTCACCCAGCAGGTCCGATGTGTTTCAAACTTTTATTCTTCGCTGTTAAACCGGCATTGATGGCTTGTGGAGGGCGCACCCCCTGACTCAAGAAACAGCTGCATTCTTGTTTCTCCCTAGTGGCCAAGACAACCTTGGCTCCCTCTTCTCCTTTGCCTGTCCGGGAACAAGTTCTGCCACCTCCCCTCCCTCCCCAACCTGCTGTCACAGGACCAGGATAGGGTCTTGCACCCTGACCTCAGAACTCTCCACCTGACAACCTGGAGGATCAACCCCTAACCAACCCTTACAGTTCCCTCCCTCTTGTGGTTGCCACCATTCTACAGGCTGCCCTAAAGCCCTCCACTTGCCGTTCCTATCTAGCAAAATGGGGAGCCTTCGCAGCCTCAGCCATAGCTCAGGGCCTCGCCCCCCCCCACCTATTGACCAAATCCTGGCATACCTACAGATCCTCTTCACCATGGGCCTCTCCCCCTCCTCTATCAGGGTCCACCTGGCAGCCATCTCCCACTTTCACCCCCCATCCAAGGTTCCTCCGTATTCACCCACCCCCTGGCACGCCGTTTCCTCAGGGGTCTGCAGAACATGGTCCCCCCAGTCCAGACTCACACCCCCTCCTGGTGCCTCTGCATGGTTCTACAATCCCTCACGAGGAGGCCCTTTGAGCCCAAGCCCACGTCAGACCTCCTCCTCCTCTCTTGGAAGATTGCGTTTCTAGTGGCTATCACAACTGCTTGCCATGCCAGCGAACTAGCTGCCCTGCAGATCGATGCCCTCTTCACGTTTCACAGGGACAAGGTCGTCCTCCGCCCTGACCCTCACTTCACTCCCAAAGTGACATCCCCTTTCCATGTCAATCAGAATGTTGTCCTTCCTACCTTCTCCGACCCCTCCACCCCCATCGAGGCCACGCTCTACCTCCTTGATGGCAGGAAGGCCCTCGCCTTCTACAGAGCCCAGACTGAGCCTTTTTGCTGCTCTGAGCGCCTCTTCGTATGATTTGAGGGCCCCAGGGTTGGTGAACCCATCTCCAACACCATCTCTCTTGCCTACAAGATGGCCAAAATTCCTCTGACAGACCACCCACGCACTCACTCCACATGTGCTCAAGCCACATCCACTGTGCTGCTAGCTGGTGTCTCGCTCCAAGAAATCTGCAGGGCCACAATATGGTCCATGCCTTCAACCTTTGTCCTCCACTACCAGCTGGGCATCTGTGCAAGATGGGACTATGCCTTTGGAAGGACAGTTCTCTCTTCAATTTTTGGGTGACTACAGCCCCTCCTCCTGGATGGTAAGCTTGCTAGTCACCCATAGGTGTGATTGCACAGATGACCGCTCGAAGAACAACAGTTACAGGTAAGCAACCTGCCTTTCTCTATGATAGCTGGCATGGACTCAGTCCTCTAGACTTCCTATTGTGGAAGGATGGTAACTATACCATTTTATGGTAGAATCACTTTGGAAGTACCCTTACTGCATCCAATGCTTTTGTTGAATTGGTCTTGAGAAAAGGGATGAGTGGTTCTTCATTTTGCAGCATGAACCTGTTATGCATGGTGGCAATTGGCTGTTCTCCAAGATGTCTGACCCCAGCTATTTTAAGCAATTATATTTTCTTGATGGCTGGCCCAGCATTTGACTTTATGGAATGTATCTCTGTCATACGAATTGAGAAGTAATCTGAATTCATAACACAGATGAAGAAACCCCTGTGACATCTCAAATTTTTGTTTTCACCGAGTTATCTCTCACGAGATGACTTTGAAGTTTGCCCCTTTCTTTCCAGGGAACAATAGCCATTGTATGTCCTGGAGCTCAGTTCTCTATTTATTTTTATGTTTTGCAGGTAACATATCTGATCATTCAATATCCTTAAAAGATCCTTCTCAACCAGCTGTTATATTTGATAGCACATCCCAGCAAGAGGTTCTTCTAGGTGAGAAAAGTAGCACATGCTAAAAGATATGTATCTGAAGTCCAGGAAAACTTGTTTAACCTTTATTGTTCAGGAAGCATTATTGTGTTATTTCTAATTAGTATTTTTAATAATATGGTGATTATGTGGATCCTTCCCCCCAGTGTCAGAAGTAGGGATATAAGGTCCTGAAAATGTTATTGAACAACATTTTTCACTGTTCCTGCCCACTGATGATAGTGACTGGAGATGGGCTGGAGATGACCTGGTGGGACAGTGGTTCTACAGCTCTGCTATATATGGAGCCAGGTTCTACCTGGTTTTCATACTTCATTTTTAGTATATTAGCGTGATCTTTTAGTATTCCTCTAGTTTTGACATTGTATATCATACAAACTGTTAATATACTTTAAAATAGTTTTTATTTACTTTGAACTAAAATTGGGAGGTCATGGCATGTATATTATTTTATTTAATCAAGCGCTATACATATTTATTCATTTCTGCTTTTATAACAGAATGTGTGAGCAGTGGTAGTTCACATGCAGTTTTCATCAGTAATGAAAAAGTGTCCATATATAAATATCTAAGTACACCCACTTTTTCTGCTGGCAAAATGATAATAAAACCGTTAGAAGAAAAGGGATTTCAATATTCCTACACAGATACAATGGTAAGTATACCAGCTATTGCATATATTTTTACATGATTGAATATTTTCTATTTGCAAATCAAGTTCTCCCTGTTTATACCATATGTAGTGTCATATTTTAACGTACTTCACCTTGGCACCGAGATCATGTGAACTGGGTTAATAAGGACATAGTCCTATGACCTCCCAACCTTGTCTGGGGGTCATGGAAATATTTACAGCCTCAGCTCTGGTGTCCTGTGACCCAAGTGCTGGAACTTCAGAGGCCAAGCTCCTGCCCTGCAGCCTTTGTAGCTAATGTAGAAGCTGCTCTAGCTGCCACTCTGAGGTCAAAAATCAGCCTCAGAGAGGGCTAAAGTGTTGTGCCAGGGGGGTGAAAAAGGGAGGAAAAGGGGGCTAATGGCTTACGTCATATCCAAACGGCATCTCAGCCTCCCACCCTCCTTATGGCACTTCGTTCTAGGTGGCTGAAAATGGCCATCTAGATGAAATGCAGGACATGAAGCACTGTAAAGATCACTGCTGCTTCACCTGCACAGGATTCATGTAAACCTCCATGTCTGGAGACTTACGTACATCAACAAGGGGACCATATCATGCTCTATGTAATTGGTTGTGCTCGTCACAATAGTTTGCATCTGACTTCTGGTGGTAGGCGCTGAGGTCCTAGTAAGAAAAGAAAACAAAAAAGAACCCACAAGCCTGAAGATTATCCTGCTCTGATATGTAGAAACTTTTCCTTGAACTTTTGATTAATGATAGCATAGTTTTAACAAGGACATGTACACATCGGTTCATAACAGATTATAGACTGTGACTGGAAATTAAAAGACACTTGCATTTTACTGTTGAAATCTGAAATGCATTTTCAAAAAATCTCTGCCTTGTACATGATCATAAAATGGAATAGAAAAGGTAAAGTTTGTTTATTCTGTTTTAGTCCTTAAGAGTGCTAATTCTGGTGAGGGCTGGTGTGGTGGTGAGACTGCTGAACTGGGGAGCTGGGCAATCCAGGTTTTAATTGTCACTTGTCTATGAAGTTCCCTGGGTGACTTTGGGCCAATCATTCACTCTCAGCCTAATTCACCTCACAGAGGTGGGTTGGGGTTTTTTTTGTGGGGGGGGGGAGGTGAGGAAAAAGTGGAATGGAGAAGGACTGTATCAGCTGCCTTGGGTTCCTTACAAGAGGAAGGGTGGGGTATAAATGCAGTATTATTAATAGTTATAATAGCCATTCAAAATACTGAGAAAGCTTCAGATGAGGTGAATACCACCAGTCTTCCTTTACTGTACTTGTGTGATGCAATATTATTTTTTGTGTCATTCTTAATGTACTTAGAGGTACTTGCACCTCACCAGGAAGGGGAAAGCAACTTTTGGGAATGCTCTGGTGGGCTTCATCAGGAGAGCTTTAAACTGATCTGGGGGTGGCGTATGGGATCAGGGCTCTCAAAAACCAATCATGAAACCAATCATGATTGGAGTGGTGAAGGAACAGGAACAGGGTCTCAGAAGCAGGGTGTTGTAGGGACTGAAGGGGCTGGTATGACTACTGCACAGATGGTTCCTGCTGGGAGGAAGGAGGATGATGAGGGAGTCAGGGAATGGGGTTCGTGGGAAAGAGGTGTGATGTATATACACCAGTGCTAGGAGCATGGGAAACAAGCAGGAAGAGCTTGAGACAATCCAGGGAGTAGGTGGGTATGATGTGGGGATTACAGCAACATGGGATGAAAAGCAGGATTGGAATGTTTGAAGGGTATGTTCTTTTTAGGAAGGGCAGGAAGGGGAAGAGGGGAGGGGGTACAGTGCTATCTGTTAAGGAAGGAATAGGGTACAATGAGAGAGGGAGTTGGGTAGAAGGGGATCATGTAGAACAGCGCTCCTCAAACTTTTTCAACAGGGGGCCAGTTGAAAGGCTGCAGTGACCATCGCGGGCCAGTGAGGTGGGGGTGCCTGGGTGTGCGGGCTGGTGAGGTGCCGTCAGGTGCGCGTGGCAGTGACTCGCTCTCTTGGAGATCTCCCAGCAAGCCCAAAACCATCTCCAAGTGAGCAAGCCACTGCCTCCCCACCCGCACAGCAAGTGCACACCTGGGTGGCGAATGGCAGTGCAGCTGGATGGATGGCCATGGTGGGCTGGATCTGTCCTGCGGGCTGTAGTTTGAGGACCCATGATGTAGAGGCAGTGGGGGTAAGATTGACGGATCTAGAGGTGGCCAAGGATCTGATAGTGGGGTATGTTATCGCCCACTGGGTCAACCTGAGACCATAGATGGTGCTCTGATAGACCAGATTGGAAGGGTATCCCAGGGGAGGGATGTGGTCATACTGGGAGACTTCAGCTTCCCTGAAGCTAGTTATTTGGGAGACACACTCAACAGCAGTGGCTAGGTCCCGTTGCTTTCTAGAAGCTATAGAGGAAGGGTTTTCACCCAGGGGGTCTGAGAGGCAACAAGAGGGGGAGTCATCCTAGACTTGGTTCTGAGCAACAGGGAGGATCTGGTGGATGATGTGCTGATTAGATTAGTTCTTGGTGTGAGTGACCATCTTATGCTTTGAGATCAGGGGGATGGGGATGAGCAGTAGGTCAAGTATTAGGAGTTGGGACTTCTTGAAGGCCAACTTCAGTCAATTGAAAACCAGGCTGGGGCTGCGAGAGGGTACTGGAGGCAAGGGAGTCTAGGAAGGGTGGATGGCTCTAAAAAGATGTCAGCATCCAGGATGTGGGTGGCTGACTAGCAGACAGGAGCACCAGGACCTAGGCAACACAAGGGTTAGTCCAAATGCACAGTTAAACAGTCCAAAGGTCAGAGCCAGGAGTTGAAGTGCAAGGCAGAGTCCATTCAAGGGGCAAGCATGGTCAGGCAAGCCTGGAGTCAGGAAACCAAGAAGACAGGCTGAGGGAAGCAGGTACCTTGAGGGCTAGAACAGAAGAAGGAGCAAACAAGGGCCAGGAAAACTTGTAGGATCTAGGAAAAGGGTCTAGGAGCAGCAGGAGCAGGGTCATGGGCAGAGTTCCAAGAGCAAAGTTCAAGCATCCGCAAACCAGGAGCACTTCAGCAACTCAGGTTCTTCGTCATGGTCTCCATGCGTCACACATACGTGGGTGCTGCGCCTGCACAATGCCTGTTGCCAGGAAGATTTTACAGCTTTAACAGTTCTGGCAGGAACTCTGCGCCCCCCCTCCCCCTTGGTATAAATGGGTGGAGTACCCGCCCCTTCACCAGTCTGCTTGCAACTGCAAGCAGTTTGCTGTGCCTCAGGCTCTTTTTGCTTATCTTGTTGCCTTTTTTCCTCCATAGCATTTCACTTTCTTCTTCACTCTTCCGATATCTACCCTTTCACTCCCTAACTTGTTCGCTTCCCTCCGACCTCCTCATTACTTCTTCCCTTCCCCCCTCTCCCCAGATTCTGTCTCCCAAAAAAAAAACAAAAATAGACCCTTGTATCGTCTCCTTTCTTTATTGACAATATCACCTTCTCTTTTGTTCTTCTTGATGGCACCGTGAGCAGCTTTCCATAAGTGTACCCAGTGTGGAGCAAAACTGTGTCCAACTGATCCACACTCTCTCTGCCTCTTCTGCCTCAGAGAGGGCCGTAGAATGGATAAGTGCAACCATTGCCAGTCCTTCGCAAGGCAGGCTAGAAAGAATTGGGAGAATAGATTGAAGAAAATGCTGTGGAATCAGGCTCTCATTGCAATGAAGCAGGTCATGGCAGCTGCCGCTTCTTCTGCTCCCGGTTCTGCTAAGTGCACCCCCTCTATTCCACCTCAAGGGGACAACGTGGGTACCAATAGCAAGCACTCTACTTGGTCTCTCTCTCCTAAAAAGCATAAGGAGAAGAGGAAGCATACCAAATCTGATAGGAACACAAAACTGAAGAGCCCTAAAAAGGATAAGACTGAGCGCCGACATAAAAAACACCCTCGGGTGCCTCATCTGGATCCTTGTAGTCTGCCACCCATCTCAGTACCGACTAAACCATCTGGCCACCAGTCTGGTATGCAGGTGACACCACCATTGTCACCTCTGTGCATCCTACTCGCTCCTCACTCCAGCCCGGAGCACCTGGAACCAGTGGCACAAGCCTCTATATTGGATGGGGAGATCCATGAATTGCCTCCTCCATCAGATCCTGATCAGCAGACTGTGAGATCGCCAACCCTTACTCCAGGTGGACAGTCATTGCCAGAGGCATCTCCAAGGACCTCACATCATCCATCCTTGTTCCTTCCACTGCAAGCTCCCACCCGACAGCCCTCCAGGTAGTGGATGTCATTATGGGGATTTCAATCCCAACCAACTGGATTGGGCCTATCCGTGGGATTTCTGTCCCCCATACAACTATCCCTACCCACCACCACCATCGTTTCACCACCATTCCACCCCTCTGTAAACATCTAGGGATGCTCTGTCCATGTCTGCTGTGGCTATCGCTTGTCCACATGTCTCCTGATGGCTCGTCCTCCTCAAGTCCTCCATACCAATCAGATTCAGACTCGGAAGAGTCTCAACAAGTTTTGACATCTCCTGATGCTATTATAGCAACTCAAGGCCCAGGATCACCTGGTGACAGCCTAGGCCACTTTTCAGAACTGCTGGCTCGTATGTCCTCCCTCGAAATCAACATACTACAGTACGTTGATCCCAACCAGGGCAATATATACGATGTTGTCCGGAAGGAGGATGCGGTTCCAGTAACCCTGCCATTTATATCAGTGCTCTGACAGGTGATGATGGAATCCTGGCAACTCCTGAACCATCCTCACCCTTCCTCCCGGCACCTGAAGTCGATGTAGAAAGTCAGGGAGCAGGACGTTACCTTCCTACTGAAGCAGCCGCAACTGAACTCCATCGTGATCAATCCACCAAAGGCCGTCAGTCCAGAGAGCACTCCGCACTGACTGACGGTGAGGGGAGGAAGATTGACATGATGTCCTGCCGGATCTACACCGCCATGGTACTCGGCCTTCATATCTCCAACTACAAAGCCACAATGGCTTACTATCAATATTTGTT